CGTGTGCGTGCGCGTGTGTGTGCGCGCGTCTTACAGACAGAACGGCTGGGATAGTTTTCACGCCATGAACACACCCCAGTCATGTTGTCATATAACCTCTGCTGAGCTCCAGGCCAGCGAGTCCAACGACTGTCTGTGCAACAGACAATCTTGGTTTAGGAATCACGACTTTACCACAGAATGGGCCGTTAAAACCGCACTCGTCCCATGAATAATGCTGAATCTAGTTGGAATTTTAATGTTTCTGCTCTTCCCATGATGGCAACTGGTGTTTTCGGGGAGTTTGGACTATATTTAACATAGAATAGCACTGCTTCATCTTCTTTGGGTTGTTTGCCATGAATGTTTTAAGGGATTGTTCACACAAAAATTTAAATTGTCATCATTTCCTCAGCCTTAAGTCATTCCAAACCCATATTACTTTTTTTTTTTCTGTTGTGAAACACAAAAGAAGACTATTTGCAAAATGTTCACTCCGCTCTCTTTGATACAATGTCAGTAAATAGTAACCAGGTCCTACCAGGACCAATGAAAATACCATAAAGGCATCATAAAAGTAGTCCATACGACTTCTACCCTATTTTTAAAGTCATTTTAAGTCATATAATAGCTTTAACTGAAAATTAAGTCATCAGTCATTGATAATCATGCTTTAAATGTCTTGGTCACATTCACTTTTATTGTATGGGGAAAAAGAGCTAGAACATTTAATTTATTGTTGTTGTATTTTGTTTTGTTTTTTTACTTTTATGTCCCAGGGGTTAACTTTTATTAAAAATAGCAGATTTCAGCACTTTCATTTTGTAATATGAAGGTTGTATTTAAAAAAAATGTAGTCTTGGAAACTTTATGCCATACCATTCTTAATTTATTTTTGCTCATTTTGCTCATTGTCCTTTATTTTATAGACTTTATAGACAGACGTAGACTTTGAATCTTACACCATGAAAATCCGTAATAAAAATGTGTTTTGCATGTTTAAAACTAATCTAAACAAAGAGTGAATGTTTTAAAACCATTTTAATATTTTGTGTGTGAAAATTATTTCTGGCAATTTTCGCACATGAAAATATGAGATGCTTGTGAACAGAAGATTTTGTGCAAATTTCCAGTCAAGCTGTAATTTTGTCAAATTATGCAAGAAGTTTGAAACGTTTGTGTGCATTTAGAAGACAATTGTAAAATTAGCCTTACACTCCATAAAAAAAAAAAAAAATGTTGTTGTAAATGAAGCGATGATTACTGGAATGCATTTTACAAGAAAATGCCATTTCAGTCTTTCTACTTGAAAATTTCATATTTAATTCAATGTTACTTGCCATTTCTTTGTAATTATTTGTGACATTTACTAGCAACTTCTGAATGTAAATTGTTTCAAAGTAAATCCTCCACTAAGTTTTTTCAGTATAGCAAAGATTTGTTCAAAATGCCATTTCATAGAATTCTGTTAAACACAATACATAATATGTGTTATGGTGGACACTATGATGGAAATTGTAATTTTTCATAAAAATAACTGACAAAAATGACCAAATTCTCCTGTGATGCATGCATCCACTGTTACTAGAAATAATAAACTAGTGAAAAGTTTGTTTTAAGAGGCTTTATTTTCCATGTCCAGAGGGACAAAAGTGCCCATATTTGGAAGAACTACCTATAAATATCTCCACCCAAGTAAATAATAAAGGATTGGAAAAACTGATGGTGAATAAACAATGACGGAACTTTCATTTTTGGCTGAACTATTCTTTCAGGAACTCATGTGCTCTTGTTTTTGTCTTTTTCAAGGACGGTGGTGATGCCAATTGCGAATGAGTTCGCTCCAGACGTGGTGTTGGTTTCTTCAGGCTTCGACGCTGTGGAGGGGCATCTGCCACCTCTGGGAGGATACAAGCTCACGGCCAAATGTAAGTGCTCCCCTGTACTTAAAATGATTCTCGTGGGATGAAGAGGTTCGGAGCAAAAGATGAGTCACTGACGTGGAAGTCTGCCTTTATCCCACTCCTCTCTCTCTCTCGCTCGTTTCTCATGTCTAAAGCTTTCATTTCAGTCAAATTTATCATGTGCTAATGCCACAAAAACAAGACACCACACTCTTGTGTGCAAAGCTTAATCCCATCCCCGAAGGGAGGGATTGTACCAGTCATCTTTTCTCATACTTCCAGATACCTAATGTTTTTCCTTCTTTGTTCCCATGTGTGCGTAATATCAATATGGCATTCCGGGCTTGTTTCTAAATCAAACATTTAATGATTATATAGCACTTGTTGTTGGGGTCCAAAAGGCTGCTTTTATCCTGTTAGAGGGATCACGAGGCCGGCTTTTTTAGATTACATCTCCTGGTGAAAGCTGTCCATATGTCAGTGCTGGAAACGCAAAGTAGAAACACTGTTCACTCAAAACATTTGCCCAGAGACTAAAGAAAGGCAGGTTGTCCGGTCTAAATTCGCACCATTCTTGCATCTAAAAGTAACTTTAAATCTGATTCAGTCCATCTGCTGGTCTAAGAATTGCTTAGTGATCTGTGACGGCGTTTGTTTTTCATTTATCTGCTTATCTTAAAGGAATAAGTCACCCATTAAATAATTCTGATGTTATTTAGTCACCCTCATGTCATTCCAGACTTCTTATGCTGTTTTTGTCTTGTATAATGTGATAGATTATAGTGACCAAATGTGTCATATGAGCTCTTAAAAGGACAAAAAGAACATAAAAATAGGCCACGTTATTTGCATGCCATATTTCAAGTCTTTTGAAGTCATATGATAGCTTTGTGTAAGAAACGGAATGAAACACATTGGTTTTTCTGTAATAATCTTCCTCTCTAACAGAGATCATAAATGTCAGCTTCAGATTCAAATATGAGGCCTTAAGATAGGGTTATTTTAGTTAACCAAATCTAAAACCATTAAAAAAAAACTTTAATTAAAATAAAATAAACATTAACTGAAATCAAATATTTAAAAAAAATTTATTTCAGCTAGTTGCCAAGGCAACATTTTTAGTTTAACTTGAAGTACTAAAGTAAAATTAAATAAACTAAAACTAAGGAAATATATTTAAAAAAAAATAAAAAATAATAATAATAAAACTTATAAAAACACAACAAAATGGCTAAAACTTAAAATAAAATTTAAAATATAAAAATCAAATCTAATTCAAAACATTAACCAAAACTATAATAGTATATGAATGATTTTTTTTAAAAAACGGCTTTAGACTAGTTTGGCGTCGTTGACACCCTTAAATTTAAATCTTTTTTTTTTCTCACACAAATCTGTCTTATGACCACAAAGAGAATTGAAATACAGTGTACAAGTTATACAGACTATTTTTATGATAGTTTTTAAAGTAGATGTGGTCACCATTAAATGTTGTTGTGTGGAAAAGAGCTGTGTAAACATTCTCCAAATGTCTCCTTTTGTGCATCCATACAGAACAACAGCATACAAGTTTAAAACGACACAAGGATGCATAAATAACACATTTTCCATGTTGGGAGTACTGTTTCTTTAAGAAAGATGTGCACAAGCACATTATGCACATAACTATTCAGAGGAGCTGCGCTTCTGGTGCAGTCTGTGTTGCATTTAATACATCGCACAAAGTGTGTAGCAAAAAAATAAAAATAATAATAATAAAACTTATAAAAACACAAAAAAATGGCTAAAACTTAAAATAACATTTAAAATATAAAAATCAAATCTAATTCAAAACATTAACCAAAACTATAATAGTATATGAATGATTTTTAAAAAAAAACGGCTTTAGACTAGTTTGGCGTCATTGACACCCTTAAATTTAAATCTTTTTTTTTTCTCACACAAATCTGTCTTATGACCACAAAGAGAATTGAAATACAGTGTACAAGTTATACAGACTATTTTTATGATAGTTTTTAAAGTAGATGTGGTCACCATTAAATGTTGTTGTGTGGAAAAGAGCTGTGTAAACATTCTCCAAATGTCTCCTTTTGTGCATCCATACAGAACAACAGCATACAAGTTTAAAACGACACAAGGATGCATAAATAACACATTTTCCATGTTGGGAGTACTGTTTCTTTAAGAAAGATGTGCACAAGCACATTATGCACATAACTATTCAGAGGAGCTGCGCTTCTGGTGCAGTCTGTGTTGCATTTAATACATCGCACAAAGTGTGTAGCAGGTTCTCAATGGTTGAGCTGAGCTGGACGGTACCTTCTCTTACGTGATGAAGAATGTCTCATTGGACCATATCAGGCCAGTGAAGAATTAAAGGGGTCATATGACGTTGCTAAAAAGAACATTATTTTGTGTATTTGGTGTAATGCAATGTGTTTATGCAGTTTAAGGTTCAAAAAACACATTATTTTCCACATACTGTACTTTTGCTTTCACAACGAACTTTGGGTAAGGGAGGTATAGTCGGATGCATATATTCAAACAAAGATCAAAAGATGTGGCCAAAATACTAAGCCACATTTATTAAAATTAAACCTGCCTCGTATTATACATTTAGACCCAGTAAATCCAGAGTGCCGTCTCCTTAACAGAGAGAATGTGATGTAATACTGTCTTATTTTCTTCCTCTCCTTCTCTCCATTTTTTCTTCATCTCTGGTTTCTTTGATCAAAGGCCAGCCACCGGTTTCTGAGCGAGCTCTATAACCCCCTCTTGTATTTCCTGTCTCCCCCTTTGGCAGGTTTTGGCTACCTGACGAAGCAGCTGATGGGACTGGCTGGCGGACGGCTGGTGCTCGCACTGGAGGGGGGTCACGACCTCACCGCCATTTGTGATGCCTCCGAAGCATGTGTTTCTGCTTTGCTTGGAAACGAGGTAAGAGCCGATTGGAGGAGTGTGAGTCAGGGATGGACAGGGCTTTATGAATGGAGGAAAAGATTAAGGGATTTTACAAAATGACAACATCCTCCAATGGTCAGCATATGATTTTTTTCTAATTAAAGATTTGACTTGCCCTGAGACAAATTTTTTTTTTTTAAATGTGAAATGTGTCGTTTCTGCAGTACTGGTGGCACTGAACAGAACTGGAAAAAGAATTACTGTCTTCGAAGTATTTTCAAACAATTTCCTCCCTTTCATTGTTCGGACAAACATATATTCCTGCCATTGTTTTAAGCAAGGGATTTTATCAAATGATGCCATTTTATGGAACAGAAATTACAAATTTAACCCGTCCACACTTTCCTTTCCTGTACATTTTATATATTATTATATTTAAAATAAATTATATAAAATAAAATATTTTTTAATTTATAAAATGTGTAAAAAATTATATAATCACACACATATTTTAGTAATAAAAATAATAATTTTAAATAAAAACATTTATTTTATATATAATTTATTTTTATAGAAAAGTGGAGTTTGTTCTTATTTTTTATATTAAACAAAGATTTCTTTAGGAGACAATTTTAAAGAAAAATCATTCTAATTATTTGTATAAGTTAAATAATCAATTTTAAGCATTCCTGTGCAACAGCTGGTCTATGCTGGGCATAATTTTGAGTCAGGTGGACAGTTTTTTACATTGTCTCACACCATGAATTTATGTTTTTAAGGCAGTGTGGCAAAAAGAATCTTAAGGACCATTGTGTGTCGTCTAGCTGGCTTTGAGTGCAAAGAACACGTGTATGACACCCTAATGTTTGCCCAGTAATTCTGCGTGCTGATTTAACAGTGATGATCCATCAGGTGAACAGAACCTCTGTCTCACTGGCCCTGGGCCCTGTTTTGTCAAGCCCCGTCCTTTTTCCTCCCACCCAGCTTTTGTCTAGGGTGTCACAGACTACATGTTTGTCAGGGTGTGTAGTTAGCAGCACTCCCTTTGTGCTGGCCAGCCACCAAGGTTCAGCTGACACGGTCATAATCCAGTCAGAGGGTGGGAGGGGAAGAATAGCAAACGCTTTACTGTCTGCACACACACAAACAAGACAAATGAAGCTGTAAGGTGTCATTTATCCGCTTGTCTCTGTGTCAGATGAAGAATCATTTCTTTTATCTTCCCATCTCTCATCTTCACTGCTATTCTTTCTATTCATCTTCTTTCATTCAGGGCCTTTCCTTTCTCTTTCTCTTTCTAAATCAAATACGCTCTCGTTTTGGCTCTGCCTTGCTGACTAAACAGTACACTAAATCTAAATGAACCTCATAAGTGAGCGATTTGGAACACTTTACATAGGCAGCAGCTTATTGCATCCATCCTCAAATGATTTCAGTAGAGCTTGACATTAGCATGTTGCTAAGATAAATATGTGATACTCTAACCAGCAAAAAATATTGTAGCAAAACCAAATAGGCTGTAATGTTTTTCTGAATGACTAATCGACTAGTAAACATGAACAGCTAGTGTGACCCATACATGTACATGGGAAAGGAATGAACTTTTTCTTTTACCCATAGGGCACCACATATCTCCACAGTGGTAGGCTTGTCAGGAAATATGTGCACTAACTGAACTGGACCTGTTTGCTTTAGAGGAGAAGTGTGTAATGGCAGCCCTAATGCAATAATCATAATCGGTTTACCTGCACCAGCATTCAGACTGTGAGTCTGCAGGCCCGCCTGGCGCTGCCTTCATCTCCAATTTACCCCATGGGAAGCTTTGTTGTCATAGCAGGAAAAGGATAGAGGAGACGGAGGCACTGAGTAAGCAAAACTGCTCAGTAAGGGCCCGGTTCAGCTGCCCATCGAGTGCACTCCCTAGAGGGATGTTGAGAGGGGGCTCAGAGTATCTCACGCTCGCTCTCTTCCCTTTCAGCTTTCAGACGCTACCAGCAGCCCATCTGAAAGCAGTTAGCTTCACACCTCTCGCAGACGGGGTCACTGACAGCCAGAGAGACAGAGACAGACTTAAAGTAATCAAAGGAAATTAGGAAGCACAAAATACAGAGGAAGCTTGTGTCATAAAGTCAGAGAGTCTGATTTCAGAGTAGAAGAACCGACTTTCCCATGAGCATTGGACACTCAGAACAACTTGTGCCACATTAGGCGCTTCGGTCCTCTATAGCTCACACGTCATTTTAATATTGCTCGTCTCAGCCTTTTCAGTCCAACTATGAAAATTGGAGGCCTTGTTTAAACGCATGTTTCTTGTGAAGTAATGCATGTTTTTTGTGATGGTGTTCGTTATGTTTTTTATATTTATATTAATTATATTCATATAAAGATACATTTTTAAAATTGTGTGTGTGTGTGTAATGAGATATATATATAATGACATATGTTATTGCCAACAGGTATTAAACATAATAACATAATCTTTATTTAATATTAGATATTATTAATATTATTAAATATTTCTAAGATTATTATCATTAGATTTTTTTTTTGAATGTTTATATTATCTGTATTTTGCTTGTATAATGTGTCAACGGGTATATTCTACTCCATAATATCTACATTATATTTAATAATAATTAGAGTTATTAAACAATGCAATATAATCTTTAAATATTCCTGTTGTAATTTTTATTATTATTACAATTAGATTAATATTAAATTATTTTCTATATAATCATACAACAAAAATTTGTATATTATTTTCTAAATTATCATATAAAAAAGTAATTGTATAATGATTCATTGTATATATTAAACAATTGAAATATTGTACTCTATAATATTTAAAGATTACATGATGTTTATTATGTTTAAGAATTATTGTTATTAGATGTAATAGCATAGTATAAACCTCAACTGTAACAAAATATGTTTTAAATATTACCATTATTATATTTGTATATTACATTAATAATTATATTATTATAATTATAAGGACAATATTATAAAAACAATATATATTTATAATTCTATATTTGTATTGTTTTATAATAATAATAATTATTATTATTATTTAAAATAATACTTAAATATTTCATATTTTAAAATGTCAACATCCATAATGTTAGCATTATATTTAATAATAATTAGAATTATTAAACAATGTTATATAGATTTTTTCTTTTGTCATTGTAATATTATCATTAGATTTATATTGTATTAATGATTCTATTTTTATAAGTTTTATCATGTATCTTTTATCATTTCTATACAATGATACAAAGTTCTTTCGCTCGTCTCGGCCTTTTCTGGCCAACTATGAAAATTGGAGGCCTTGTTTAGATACATGTTTCTTGTAAAGTAACATGCGTGTTTTTCATGGCACCCATTCAGTTCAAGCACACGGTCACTTGATGACCCATGCAGGACCCATCTCAGGCCAGATAGAAGATAATGAGAAACAAGAGCACGGACTGTAATCAGTATAGCAGGAAGCAGGTGTTTTATCATTGCATTCAGGCCCACATTGTAACAGAGGTGAAGTTCAGGGCAGTGAGTAGATGATGTGGATAGAGTCTGAGAGCTTTGGAGAGCGTGTTTGAACTAGAGACTCATGGGATAACAGGTGCTGCAGCTACTCCAACCTCTACACGCCTGGTTTACTCATTCAGTCCTCTATTACTTGAAAGGTAATATGATAAAACTGAACACACTACGTGAAGCCATGAAAATTAAGTTGTATGCAAATGCAATTATGATTGTTCATAATCATGTTCATTACATAAACATCAAAAGATTAACTGAGAATGAGTTTTAATCTACTGGTATCATTCATTTATACATTATTCATTCCCAGTGTACATTTTTATAATGTAATATACACTGTATATATTACATTTATTTGAAAAAATGAACACACACACACACATACATACAACAAAATGTAATATTTATAATATTTAAATATTACATTGTTTATTATGTTTAATAATTATTGTTGTTAGATATAATCATATAATCTGTAAATGTATCAAAGTAGAATATTTTGTTTGTAATTTCTAAATATTATTTACATTATTTACATTTAAATAATATATTAAGAATTATATTATTATAATGCATATCTCTATATATAGATATATCACCATATGATTGAATATATTACGATAAAGATATATTTTAAAAATATAGCAGGAAGCAGGTGTTTTATAATTGCATTCAGGCCCACATTGTAACAGAGGTGAAGTTCAGGGCAGTGAGTAGATGATGTGGATAGAGTCTGAGAGCTTTGGAGAGCGTGTTTGAACTAGAGACTCATGGGATAACAGGTGCTGCAGCTACTCCAACCTCTACACGCCTGGTTTACTCATTCAGTCCTCTATTACTTGAAAGGTAATATGATAAAACTGAACACACTACGTGAAGCCATGAAAATTAAGTTGTATGCAAATGCAATTATGATTGTTCATAATCATGTTCATTACATAAACATCAAAAGATTAACTGAGAATGAGTTTTAATCTACTGGTATCATTCATTTATACATTATTCATTCCCAGTGTACATTTTTATAATGTAATATACACTGTATATATTACATTTATTTGAAAAAATGAACACACACACACACATACATACAACAAAATGTAATATTTATAATATTTAAATATTACATTGTTTATTATGTTTAATAATTATTGTTGTTAGATATAATCATATAATCTGTAAATGTATCAAAGTAGAATATTTTGTTTGTAATTTCTAAATATTATTTACATTATTTACATTTAAATAATATATTAAGAATTATATTATTATAATGCATATCTCTATATATAGATATATCACCATATGATTGAATATATTACGATAAAGATATATTTTAAAAATATAAATAATAATTAATAATGTGTGTATATTATAATAATATAATAATTTAAAATGTCAACAGGAATATTCTACTGTAGTAATTATCATTATTAAACAATGCAATGTAATATTTAAATATTACAGAGACCCTGTTGTCATTTTTGTTG